CTGTAATGGAAATCCTCCCCCTCTAGCTTTTATTATCATCCCCCCCCCCATTCAGTGTAATCCCACCTGTAAGAGGGATTCTTTCTACTTCTCTAATATAACCACCCTCTTCTTTCTTTCCTTGTTGTCCAATTGTCCTGTTATCAAATTGCTGTAAATGTATTTATGTTTATACCTGTTGATCTGTGCTGCTCTCAACCAACCATGCTCAGAGATGTTTCTTGTCCCTTGGACAACAGCTAACGCAACACCTCATAACTGGTCCAAGGGTTGCGAATAAGCGACTGCGAATGTCCAGCCATAAATCTGACATCGATATCCCACCCACCACTGCTCAAGGAATGTTATGGAAGAGGGCGTGGAAAGAGCCAGAAGATGTGGGGTAGCTTCCGGATGTGGGGTGACCAGTGTTATCACCAACTCACAGGAGTAAAAGACTCACATAAGATCAAGCTAGTCAAATTTCCACTCCAGGTGGGAGAGGAGTTCCTGAGACCCCACCTCTGACTGGCAGGCTGTTGCCAGTTGATAGCTGCTGGGAGAGGGAGAGTCAGTTTTCTTCAGGATTGTGGACTCTGCATGGTTGCCAGGCTCCAGTAGATGCTCCCATAGCCACGCACATATGGGCAGGACTAATGGTACTTAGTGTATTTTACACACACACAGACACACAGACATACAGACACACACACACATGCATGCATGCATGCACACATGCACAAGAGAAGAGGACAAGAAGTTGGCAGGGGGCACATTGCAGCCATTCTGGGGTAGTTGGAGTATGGGAGGGAGAGGTGAATACAATCAAAATAGATTTTATACAGATAAAAAGCTTTTGTTAAACTTGTTTTATTGCCAGGATTCAGAATCATGAGCCATGGAACTTGTAGAGAAGTGTGTTTTATGCAGGATTTTGTTTCTCAAAGTATGCTCATCCAGCCAAGCACAGTGATTTGAAAGTTACCATTTTAAAGTTAATACATTTTTAAGTTAATGCAGTGCCTTCCTCCAATAATCCCAGTACTTAGGAGGCTGAGACTGGAGGATTGCCACAAATTTTAGGCCAACTTGAAACACAAAGTGAGTTGTAGGCTAATCTGAGTGACAGGGTCTCCCTCTGTCACAAACAAGTGAACACATACCCTCAACCAAAAACAGAAGAAGAAAACTAAGGAAGCAACTTATGAACCATTAGAAGATTGTTCTTAATCCAGCTGGTCATTATCAGTTCATACTTTTCAAATGTATTATTGAAACATATTATTGCTTATATCTATTGTTGTTATTTTCATATATCATTACATTACCAAGCACCCCCAAATGCTGTAAACCTTTACATTGGTCTCATCCAACCTACCTGCATGTATTCTTTTCCCCGCTTCAGATCTTGTGTCACTGGAAGTCATGCTTATTTTAGAGGCTGATTGTACATGTTGTCCTGTGATTTAGCCACCCACTCCACAAACACGTCTTAAATTCCTACTATGTGCCATATATCATAGGCCTACTATGTGCCATAGTTTCCACTGTGTTCCAGCAATTTTCACAGACGTTTACTTTGCAGAAATGAGTAAAACAAAGAAAAATCCATCACTTTGCAGAGCACACCTTGTAAAGGTCAAGCGACACCATATTAAAGGTGAATAAATTACATATTGCACTAAATAAAGCAAAGATTAATATTATCTAATACAAAAAAGTGGAGACCTATTTAAATTTAGAGATTAGAACCTTGTTAGTTCCAAGACAGTATTGGGGAAAGGGCTGGAAGAGTATTAGGGCATAAGCAGTGAATGTCTGGGTGAAGAACTGAAAAGAAAAAATGCTGGAGACGAGTCTCCGAAGCTGGTAGCCAGTGTGTGGCAAGATTAAAGATATTCAGCAGGAAAAAATAGCTAGAGGAGGGTAGAGCACGAAGATGAACTACTTACATCACTGCACCATTCATGTAGGCTTCATAAGCCCTTACGTACAGTAGTGCTTATGTTGAACGCGGTGGGGAGGCAGTCGCTGAACACTTCCTGAAGCAGAGGAGCTTATTCTGATTTAAAGGATTGTCCTGGCTGCTGGAATGACAGGTACTGAAGGGCTGTGAGGCCCAAGCAGGGTACTCAACCGAAAGGCAATCATGATGCAACTGGGAAATGCTGGTGGTTATGACCTGGGTGGTGATGGTGGAGAGGTGTGACGTGGCTGGGGTAGAAACACAGGCTCTGATTTGGATACGCTCATTTGAGCTCTTATGCCCAAGCAGGTAGACGAAATAGGCAAAGGAGACATACTTGTTTGGAGCCGGGGGAAGGAAAATTTAACATTTCTCCAAAAAAAAAAAATCACCTTTCAGTGATAATTAGATGTGAGGGAACAGAAAGAGACACATCTGGTCAATTAATTTTAAGCATACCTATTGTATTCTGTAGGCCTTAATGGTCTTTGGTACAGCATACGGTTTCCTAGAGTATGCTCACACACAATTTCCTCTAAATTTTGTTAATTTGAGGCTTAAAAAAAAAAACAAGTTGTAAATGGGTAAAAAGTGGTTCTGAAATTTGTCTTTGATCTTCGTGTAAACAATGCCCTTGTGAAGAAATTAATATCACACATGTGATAACAAGCTGCTAAATTCATTTCATGAAAACACTCTCTGTTCTCTTGGAAGATACTGATAACAAAGAGCCATAGGTTATAACAGTTACAGCCATGATCATCTAAATCTTTAAATATTCTATTATGGACTGGCAAGATGGCAAAGCAAGCCAACGGATGACCTGACGATCTGAGTTCAAACTCACATCGTGAAGCAGGCTCCCACACATTGTCATCTGACCTCTACATGTGTATGCGGGAAATGGTACGTGCACCCCCACACACATTCAGACATACCAAAAATAAACATATAATAAATGTATACAAATTCGAATAGACAATACCATATTGTTAAAAACACTTGTGGTTGTATGGTGATTGTAGCTGAAGGACTGACGATTCCTATGCACAACTCATGTCTTCACAAACCAGCCGCTTTCACATGTTCAGTAGCAACATTTACTGTATTATAATTCATTTTGCCTTCAATGAAAACTCTTCAGCATAGGCATAAAAAACAAACACCACATTCTGAGACTGAAATATGAATTCCATCTGACTTAGAAGCATGGAATACATGAGCATTAAAACTCTACAAAAAGGAATATGAAGAAAATGAAAACAGTTGCAAAGGTATTTATTGAGAAATAGTAAAGATGTACATATTTTTACAAGCTTTTAATATTAATTTACATTTTTTAAATTACGTAGGCCCCAATAATCTATAACTTTACTAATACATAACAGAAACCCTTGACTTCGACTGTGAGATCCCTACAACACCACCATAATTGGGAGTCAAAAATGCAACTTTGGCTCATGATGCTTACGTTTGTGTTGAAAAGAAAATGCCATATTCACAAACAAGTAGGCTTCATTAAAACTTCACAGTAGGGCATGCTGTTGAAGCTATTTTGATCTTAGCTCACCAGACAGTTAGTACTTATTTTTGTGCACAGACCATACAATCTTAAAACCTTATTTTTTTTAACTTCTGAATTGGGTTAACACATTTCTTTGAGTTTTATCATTTTAGATGTTTGCTATAATATTATAGTCAGGCCACCTATTTTATTACTCAAGTGATAGGGTCTTGATATTTTTAAGGTGCAATATAAGGCAGTTCTTGTTTTTCTAATATCATATCACATTTGAATATGTAATAGCCCAAACCCACCTGAGTTGGAGAATGGTTTTCAAACTCATTTACAGCAAGGCACAGTATTCTACACAAAAACAGAATGTAGGAACTGCCCGTGGGGCTGCTTTCTTTATTGTTGGTTGTCTGAGGTTACATTTTTCTTGTTTTTTTGTTTTTCAAGAAAGAAAGAGGATTTTCCTGTCCTAAGGTGGGAAGGAAAGAGTTGCAGTCTGAGCTTGCTCAAAGTCACATAACCAGGCTGGGCCCATGGCTTTCTGGCTACCACCATTGCTGGTGTTACATTGGCTGTCTCCTCTGGACAGATACTCTGGGGGGCTGGGGAGGAAGAAGTATGCCAGCAGCCAGCCCTTGGAGTCCTTGGAAAAAGGGGAGTCTGTCTGGCCCTCAATTGGAGCAGTGTTAGAAGCCTTGTTCATCAGATTCTAAAAAGAATTAAAACTTTTGATGCAGGGCCACAAGTCTAGCCATGAGAGAAACTGGCTTTTGCCAAACTAACTTCATTTTATCATAGTAATAAATATTTAATGTTTAAATTCACAAATGAGTACTGGTAATAAAAAAATAGTCTTTAACCTTTTAACCATTTTCAAGCTGAAGACCCGCAGAAGTGTGAAATTTACTGTTAGTATTATTAGGATTAAATTATTCCCATCATAATTAGCCACTATAGCATTATGGGAAAAGGTAGCCAAAGCCACATTTAATCTATGAGGATCGTATAAGGATTCCCTATCTTCTGCAGAATTATTTCATTATCTTTCTACTCCACACAGGGCCTCATCATTCTCTAAAGAAAGACAGCTCTCCCTCCAGAGTACTCATTGCTATGTTTGAGCAAAGCATTTGTCTTGTTGAGTTGCAGAAGTCTCAGGCAATGAGCTGTCATGAACTAGCCTCAGACGAGGGGCACTAACAGCTGGACTCTAGGGTCTATCTGACGCCGTTCAGAGCGCAGAGCTTCAGGTGTTTACACCATTAGCATATTTTACTTCTTGAAGTCATGAATTTCCACAAGGCCAACCGTGTCATAGCCAATGAGAGAATCTGTATCATGTCACCAACACAGGCTACACACCAGCAAAACAAAAAGACATGCAGACACAATGATGGCAGGCTCTCCCGGCAATGAATGCAGGCCTTGTTCAGCAACCATACTAAGAGGAAACCAATGTATTCCTGTCTGTAAATGGGAAGACCCTGGACTAATGTGTTCCAAGGAGAGCTAATCCCCTTTACTGTTGATATCTGGTGATGTTGTCAAGACCTAGCTTGTCTGATAATGAATTTATGATGATATTCTATAAAATTTTCATAGACTCAGTGTTTTTTCCCTTGGGAGCTATCTGATAGACCTGCCTTCTATCACTGAGGGTATACTCGCTTTTGAGTGACATGAAAGACAAACGTATTCTGTCATGTCCACTCAATGTGCATGTTAAGCTATAGCCATAGCATATTATAAAAATGACTTGAAGGATATTTGCTAATGGTTTGCACCATAATATCTTTCTCTAAGCAATTTACACATGTCCAGAATCTTAAATTGAAATTGGGTAAATTAGCATGAATATGGCTCTTAGTTTTCTTCCAGAAAACTGTAAGAAAGGATAGTTGCGACATCAACATATATTTCACTTTAGAAATAAAGAACTCACTGTTTCCCAAACCTTTTGCTTATTGATGCTAAGATAGTTGACTCTTACCTATTACTGGAAATATTCAGAAGCCAAATAAGATGCAAGCCTTCTTGTATTATTACGATTGGTTTCTCATTCTAACAAATCCTCAGTTTGTTGATGATTCAGTATTAAAATGCCAGTCTGAATTTTAAATTTGGTCATGCCAAGGATTATTACCAAGCTTTTTGTTTATTTGGGTTTTTTTTTTTTGCTTTCTGTTTGTTTGTTTATTTTGTCTTTCATTATCTACAGAGACTTTAACCAAAGTTACATTGTAACACACAAACGCTGTCTTGTCTTTAAGGCACAATGCATCAGTATGAACATTCTCTTTGCCAAACTTAAAAAAAGAGACAATATTATATTCCCATTTCCCTGGCCCTCTTCCCGCCCCGACAAAAAAAGAACAATTGCATCCACTTTCAGAGTCAGCTGCTAATAAAGTCACAGTAAATTATTTCCATCAATAATTTACACAAATTACAGGTCTAGATAGGACTGTCAGTATACAGTCTGAGTGCATTCAGATTCAGATTTTCTGGGCTAGGTAGGCTAAAAGTCAGATTCAAACCTCAGGGGTGAGAAGAACTCTCATTTTGAGGAATGTTTTCGACCACCTTGTCAGAGGCAGAACAGGTGCTGTGGTCTGGAGGGCTCGAGTTCTTTACTAAAGCTGTTAATTCCAGTTAGGACTCATTTGGTGGCTGTCAGCAACCTCCACAGATTTTTTTTTAAACCATGAAAGTATTGTAAAGATAATAAGACCATAGAGTTTCCTTTCTGCAGCACTAAAGTTTAATTCCATTCAGCAACCTGAATTCTTCACTCTGGAGTTCTCATTCCAAGCATGATTTCCTCCTTTAAGACCATTTAGATGTGGAGAAGAAGCCAGCGGCATTGGATCACACATAAAAATTCAGTGTACTTGAAATATAAAAAAAAAACAATGGATCCCCAGCTAGAGAATACAGTTACAAATACTCTAACTCCAGTGCTTGATGTAGAGCCAAGAGGTCCGAGTGGCTTGATATCCTCCAAAAGGGCATGTTGTGCTGTGTGGTCAAGACAAGGGGAGAGGAGAGAGGGAGGGGGCAGGAACGAAGAATGGAGACAAATCACAACCATCATCCCATGGAGACAGACAGCAGCACACATCAGGGTGTGGTGTTTACCCGAATTCAAAGGAGGGAGTTTAATAGAGGGAGAGCCACAGGTGAAGGTCTGCTAGCTAGCACCAATGCGGAATTTTCTAAGAAATTGAGAAATAGATCTGAACTGTATTTTAATGTATAACAGTCAACACCGTGTTTCCTACATGGTTTAATCTCTACGCTGTAAATCAGAATTACCAAGGTCAACACTGGGGAAAGCAAGATGACATAAAACTCTTGCATGGATGAGTGATAAACTCTCTATCAGCATATTACTTTTAAAAGTTGATTTCTTGGTTAGAAATAAGAGAAAATTAGACTATGATCTTGCTAAACTCAGAGGCCTTTGGTAATGTGAGGGGGATAAAAGAGTGAATTTCTAACTGTGCAACAATTTGGAGCAAAACTAAATAAACATTGGAGTTGATAATATTCAACTTGTCCAGGGTAATTAATAATTTAAGCCAGTATATGGCTTGATTTATCACACCAGTACAAGACAGAGAGGGAGCGGACTTAAACTTCCGGTTTTCATGGGGACATACCATCCCCATGTGGATAGACAACTCTTAGATGGCGCACTAGTTTGTGGCCTCCAGAGATGTGTTAGTATGCACCACAGATGTAATTAACATTCAGGATTTACAGAGGAGACTGATTAGAAGTAATATCTGAGGAGACCTCATTGGGAATAATAATAAGGAAAAAATATACTGTAGTAAATGACAAACAACAGCATTATTTGTTATTTTGAACTTGAAACATCTTCTAGGACATATGTGAGGGGAATGTAGTCAATATGCAGTAGAAATATATATATATATACATATATATGTATATATATATATATAAGTATCTTATTTTAACATGAAAGTTTATTATAATCACTACTACTATGTAATTCTTTGCTGCTCAGTATGGTAACCACTACCAACATGTGGTTATGAATGCTTGAAATATGTTTAATCCAATTTAAAATACATTATGAATTTTAAAACCAGACTAAGGCTGACACAGGAATCTAGACATCATGTCAATAATTCCTATATAGACTAGGTGTAGCTATATAATATTTGGAACAGATTAGGTCAATTAAAGATACTATTAAAGCTGGCTCTACTTGTTCCTTTGGCTTTTAGAAAAATTAAAATTTACATATACATCTCATGTGCATCTTGAGATGGGAGTGCAGTTATTGTTATTGGTAAGATTTGACCTTTTTTCCTCTTTGATTTCACAAACACATGTTTTAGTTCAATTAGAGTAAAGAATTTGAGAAGGGTAACATTTTCCATTTCAGCTCAGATCTATTTGTAATAATAAAACAGTACTCAGTATATCTGCACATGCGATTACTTCTACGTTAAAAAAAAAAGCATGCATTCTGAACACTAGGGCAACCAGCCACCTGTGTTTCCAAATAGATTCACAGCCTTCACCCATCACCCAAACTACACCCACTTCAACAACCATTTGAAAACAGCATTCTATCCAAAGTTTGGATCCATTTGGAGTCAAGCTATATGCCCCTGCCGCTGAGAAGCAGAAGGCATCTTCATACTCTACCATCCCCAGTGTGGATAACTAGCATGGACTTGATAAATCTTGATTCTGAAAGGCACACATTGTTTACTGGCTCGTGAACTTTCCTAGTTCTGAGCAAGAGATCAATAAATTTCACAGAGGTTAAAGACTACTTGTATTTGTCTAAGGGTCTGTTGTTTGTTATGTGTGATTTTAGTGCCAACATGAAAAATTTAAACAACGAACTCCCATACAATGGACATTCATAAAGTCCAGAAAAGATGACAGCTGTGTGCGCCTTAAACACCTCAAGTAGCAGGCAGCGGGGCAGGTTGGGTTGTTTGAGGCTGCAGGGCTGACCTTATACAGAATGTCCTTGGGACCAGTGTGCTGTCTTGAGTCATAGCCACTGCTAATTAACACTCAGGAAGTCCCATGTCACCAGCTCTTGTAACAGAATGGGAAAGCATGGGGACTCTAGGGGACAGCTGCCCAGGATGCCTGAAACCTTTTAAGTAGAACCCTTTCCCTTTCTTCAGTTTGCTGGGTTTGAGTTGACTGGATACATCAATCATTTATCTTTCTGTTATGCTCATAAGCTCTTCTATATTACAGTTTATGAGGTTATTAAGCTTATTAGAACAAGCAGTTCTAATTATTCTATAGAAAATAGAAATTGAGTCTATGCTGTGATATGTGCATTTGGAGGTTTTATTAGAAAGTGATTTAGATAGTCCATATATGAGAAGTATAACATTATCTTTATAAGCTAAAATGCCATTTATTGGTTTTGTTTTGTTTCAAATTTTGTGGCCCTCCAGGGAAGGAAGTAGAGGGCACGGGTTTGTGTTGTTTAGTGTGGAGAACAAACTTTATATCATTCCTCTTCTCATGCTGAACCAACCACTTAGTGATTTAACTACTACCCCAATTCCTCATCAGAAATATGCATCAGATAAAAAAGGCTTATTTAAATCAGTAGGGCGTATGAGATCTGAATAGGCTCAAAGCCAGCTGCTTGGTACTTAACTACCAGTGATTCACTGAAATACGTGAGAAACTTCTAGATGGAAGGGACATTGCCAGTTTGACTCTAAAACAAGTTGGCACAAAAAGTATGAACAATGCACCAATTCCAACCCTGCTGACTAAGGCCTCTTAAGTTCCCTTTCAGCTATCAAGTCTGTCTTCAGTATTCATTATCAAGGAACCGATCTGTCTCCAGGCAGTCACAAGGAACATGAGGCATTTGAGAGCCATGGGCCACCCTCGCTAGCTGTGTCATGAGTTTGTTAAATTTCTTCATCTGGTACATTTAATGAGTTTTTAAAAAATCGGTCTCTATGTGCACTCCTGTGTGTGTGTCTGTGTGTGTGTTAAATGCATGCTCTAAGTTTATGACTATGTTTCTTATATAGTTAGATACATGTGAATAAATATCAATAAATTATCCTGAATGTCCTAGCAAATTCCAGGCATAAAATGCTAGACTCCAAATGGTTTATTGGCAGGTCAACATTGGCTCTCATGCTCTTATTGATTTGCATTTGTAAATGTCAATCACTTGTCAAGCTGCCATTGGGCCAAACTACGGGAACGCAAACAAAAGAGGCTTGCACTAGAAGTACCACACCAACATTGGTTGAGACGGGTTACCTTTTTCGCTGCCTGCTCTTCTTCTACACCATCCCCAATTACAACATATACTACTTTTCTGCCAAACCTTTGCATTATTCGTTCAAAGCAACTTTCTTTTCCTGGAAGATAAACAAGATAAAGTTCAGAGCGAAATTACCTGCTTAGCTGCGTGCTCTTCATCTCGGCCGTCTCCAATCACAACATAAGTTATGTTAGTGCCAAATCTGGACACTATACGCTCAAAACAGCTTTCCTTGCCTGAAAAACAATGCATTGCTTATTCTTCCAGCCATGGCACTCACTAACCTAGAGATTCAGAAAGTGTTCAATGAATGCCTCTTGAACAATGTGTGAGTGAGCTTATGACCTTATGATCCCTGCATTTAGAAAGCAACAAACACATTGCAGTAATATTGCTTTTTATCTAGGAGAGATCATTAAAGAAACGCTTTTGTTAGTCTAAGAAAGACAGTAGGCTTGACAATTTGACCCTGATAAAATGTTAGTGTGTTTTCAACTCCACTGAAAGAGCAGTGAAGCACCTTTTATGGGCAAATAAAAGTTCTACAGCATTTGTTTAATTCTAAGAACCAGTTTTATCTGATTTATCTTTTGGATAGGCAAGTCAGTTGGAGAAAAATGAAGTCTTATCTCTAAGGAAAGAGGGAATACTAACAGATTTACCTTGATAAATGACCCCTTTAAACAAGTATGTGAGCACACATATAGTCAGATTAATTACATCAAGTGTGCTGTCCAACTGACCACAGCTGTGATTGCAGCAGATTCGCTGACTGCACCCTGAGGTATGACTGTGGGGACCTTGCTCATGTCTTATCTTTACAACATTGGCATTTTTTCCCCAATCCCATTCCAAGAATGTTCTTGCAGCCATCACTACTTTTGACTTTTTTCTTCCTTATCTGCTAGTTCAGGATGCTGAAACAAAAATTACTAGTGACGAAAGAAAAACAATGATTACTGTCTTGGGTTCAATGGAACACATTTGGTCAATGGGAAGAATATTAACCTTTAAATAAAAGAAATAGGTATTTAGATAAAAAATTATTTGTTCTGTCAAAAAGAAAAATCACATTCTATCTATCAATCCTACAAATATAATGTATGCCTCTTCACAGAGCATAGTATGGGATTGGAGTCTAGGGTCTGATTTGGAACATGCATGACAATGTGACATATACTTTAAGAAAGTCTGGCCCTCCCTAACTGTTCCCCCACATAGCTGCAATCTTCACAAGACTTAGAGCTAGCTATGATGGTGGGAGGTTTAGGATTTTGAAATTGTCAAAGTGCCAGCAGGTAATTTTGTTGCTTTTGGGGGCACATGGCATAACCTAGTTATTTTCCCAGGCGTTTCCTCCACAGACAATGGGATATATATCCTGCCTTCTTTTAACTCTATCAAAATGGCAGAACTTGACGAAGTTTTATTTTGAATGATAATTGGAAGTCAGACTCTGCAAACCATATTTGAAGATGAAGATGGCTCCATAGATGTATTTTACCTAGGAAACAGATTGTAGTTATTTGAGTCCTTCTGTGTACTGGCAAGAAATGTATATTTCAGGTACACAAGTAAAAAATGTATATTTTGGTTTATGAAAAATTTTCACTTGTTCCTGAAATTATTTTTTGATTGCTGGTAGAATTAATCTGAGGCTTCCCAATGATGCCAAAATAGTATTTTTATTTTTAACCTTAGACCAAGACATAATTCCATTTTATAGTAATTGAACAATTAAGTAGTATGGTTATCACATGTATTACTCAGCTGGTATAGTTAGAATACTGTATAAAATGGACAGAATGAGTTAGGATTACCTAAATACCAAGTTCAGCATTTTACACCTAAGAGCTCTCGTCAAATATACACATGCATCATGAATTATATGTGATTTTGTTATTCGAGGTGCTCCCAAATTTTCTGGATGTGTTAATGGAAAACTGATTAAGAGAGAATCATGCAGAAATATAAATACAGTTGTGGAACACTCCAAGCACAGATGTGGCTACATTTCAAATAGTTCCCTTACCTATTTTCGTTGCACTGTAAATGTTCTCAATGGGAAAAGCACCTCCTAGGCTGTAGAGCAGGATCTTCGCCAGGGCCGGGATCAGCTGCGTCGTCGTTACCAAGACGTTTACACAGTTACTCCTACCAGGGAGGAAATGCACGGATTTGCTTTCTAGTGGCAAATAACTTCTAGCAGTAAGATTGAAAATTGCCCCCGTTGTTTGTAAATGCTTGAGGAGACCACCTCTTTCAGTCTTTAACCACCGGTGCTATCAGCCAACAGACTCTCCCTGGAGTTAAGGACAATTCCCATAACCCAAGACCATTTTCTGACATTTAATGGCTCCATTGTGTTTGTCAGAGCCAGATTCTATTCAAAGTCCTTTAACTCTACAGTGATGAGGAGAAAGAGAAGTAAGTCACAGGCTTTGGAAGTTTGGAGAAGCAGTTTGACCGGAAGCTTCAGCATTTACTAAATAAAATGTGATATTAGCAGCTGCTTCATCTTTCAAAATTATTAACACTCTATGACAGAACATTTGTAAAGGACAAATATAAAAATGGAAATGAGAGGTATAAATATTAATTACATATTCAGAGATAGTTTCCATCTTCATTTGCAAATTTGCTTTCCCAGTAGGAATTATATATTATCCAAACAATTTCTTTTGTCTGTTATCCTCATATTATCTACAAGCAAACTCTTTTGCCAGTTGGTACAACATAATTTTTCAAAATAATGTTTAGATGAGTTTTGGTTTCTCATGGTTGTATATAATGCTGTCTCAAGGCTGTTTTTGGTTTTGTTTTCCTAAACCTGGAGTTACTTCTTTAGTGAATACCCACAGAACAAGGAAGATAGATGGTAACTTAAGAACTCTGACACATAATCCATCAAATAATTTGCTTTCCCTACATTTTTGGATCTTGTGTAAATTTTAAATATGTGTTAGTGCTAAACTCTATGGACAATTTAGCAAGCTTTGTAGTCTCTAAGCAGTCTGGTTGTTGGCTTGTTCTGTTTTTTTTTTTTTACGTCTTTTCTTTCTATTCATTTAATCATTTCCTAAGGTCACACAATTTTGAGGTGGCTTTAAGTTCTTTTATAAAAAATACATAAATGAGCTGTTGGTTCAGTTCTTGGAGAAATGCCCATGACGGTCCACAGTTTCAAAGTCCCGGAGTCCTTGACCTCTGGTTGATTAGTCACAGTTTCAGACATGATACCGAAAGTTCCATGTCCAAGCTTTCGCCGTCAGACAATTCTTGCATAGAATTCATTTCCCTACCTGAGATTCTTACACATTTACTACGTACCCTCACCTTTCTAGACACAGAGTAAAACCTAACTCATTTTAGGCCCAACATTTCAAACAGTTGCAATGGACAAATTTGTTCCCCACTTGACTCTTTGGGCTGAATTCTTGGCAGTTTTCTCCTTTGTGTTGTTTCTACGGATCAAATTCCAGGCACTAACACACTGGACGCTGGAGACTTCATGTCTGTCAGAATTTCCATTAGAATTGTGACACCAAGAACTGAAGAGAATGTTCGTGTCTGCCCAAATCAACACAGGAAGCTAACGCAAGCCCCCATCACAAGAACTTTCTGTTGTTGGTGATGTTTCTGATCTTGCTACCAGAAAGGAATCACATGCCAGATTTGACACATAAATTTACTTTCATGTCCTAAACATATCAGACTCTTCTTTCACTCTTGCAAACTTTTTAAGTATCTGATATCTGTCCGGACAGCACCTCTTTTTATGCCTGGTACACACACACATGGGTTCACCTAAGCCAGAAATAACACTATACAATACGAAAAAATAATAATTTCACCACCAGCACTTTTTCCAAATGTATCCTGCTGAATTATTGTTCATAGAACAAAGCTGAAAAACAACTTGAAGTTGGTGTAATTTTGTTATCTATATCAAGTTGGTAGAAACACTGTGAAGACTTGCGGTGGTCAGCAGCTTCCCTATGCTTTCCTGGTACACTTATATGGTGCATACCACCTGTCAGACCTAAGCCACGCGTCTTTTAACAAATCTTCTTTTAATTCTGTCATTGTCCTTTGGATGATTTGAATCCTTTGATGATCACAGCACTGCTTCCTCCTCATGACATGTTATATAACTTTCCTGTGGGATTATCAGTGGTTATGATCACACACACACACACATACACACACACATTGAAAAAAAATCATTGGATGTGGTGAATTGCTAAGAATTGAAACAGTTTTGCTATGTTATGTTGTTAGACTCAGATCTTCCATATAATTGAAGTAGAGGGGCAACAATCCCACTTACCTAGTACTAATAATTGATAAAGACTTAAGTGCATTCGTTAGCCAGGAATCTGTTAGGCCTTCGATCTCTGCCCTTAATTGCAGCCATGCATCCCTCTTGGCAGGGCCAAGGAGTCCTGAAACACCAAAATACAAAGTGCAGTCAGGAGTGAACACTGTCTCTGTGATACAGAATTTGACATCTCTTCTGTTTACAAGAAACAGTTTTGATTTTGGTTGTGTTGTAAGGAAAGAGGTGCAGGCTTCTTCTACTAACATAGATTCATCCTTTTGGAGTCGACTATTCTCAATTCATTCAATGAATTCTTATTAGACCAAACACTTGGCTAGTCATGTGGAGATATGACACACACAAAAAAAAGACCCCAATATTTTCCCTCTTGCGGATCCCGGAATTCAACACAATAGCTGGAAGGCTCAGCTACTTCTAGGCCTGAGTCTCCTGATGAGGCTGGAATGTGTTGGATCTGGAGGAGCAATGGGGTCCCTCCAGTCCAGGAACACAAATGTGGCACTTAAAAGTATTGCCTCTTCATAATTACAGTTCCATGTTGGAAAAGTATTGTCAGGATCAGTATGCAGCTGCTACGGTACTTCTTAAACTTGTGCCTGAGCTTACTGATATTTTGTGTTTTAAAAGAAATCGATAGCTCTGTTTAAAATCCCTAGGAGTACTATCCCAGCAAAAGCAGCAATGGTGGGAAGAAGTTGGCATGTTAAATTTTAGTTCCCAGAGATGTTGGGATATTCATCAGTGGTGACAAGCATGCAAGAGGCTCCAGCACTGTACGAAAGGAAAAGAGGAAGGAGGGAGGAAGGAAAAAGGGAAGACAGGCAGGAAGGAGAGGAAGAAAAAAAAAGAACAAGACAAGAAAAAAGAGAAAAGCAAAGCAGCCCTGCTTTCATGATAAAATGAAATCACATGAACATCCATTCAAAAGGAAGGTTTCTCACTCAAATTGTATTTCAGCTAATGGGAGCAAATACACACCACATACAATAGGCACTATTTAAAATTAAAACATTTACCTTCCAGAAAGTCTCATTTTTCTAAATTCCAGTAAAAAAAATGCTACTATCTGCCAGAAAATAAACTCTCACATCATTGATTTAAGTACCCAAGCCACAAGACTATATATTAACAGCCTTCTCAATTTTAAAATAATTTTAACAATACTATGCTGTAAGATGAGGGAAAGACACACAGATACTAAATGTTTCAGACCTCTCAAAGGGCTGTTTAGCTTTTTTTTTTTAAAAAAAAAGGTAAATGTATTATTTACAATTGATTTTACTTTACAAAAGTGTCTTGTACAAAGCATTAGAATGAGTTGGGAAACATAACTAGGAGCAGGGCTCAGTTATCTGTTTGGAAACAAAAGTCTTCCCTGTATACAATTTCTGTTGACTCAAATGTTCACATAGTTGTGGTTCTGTCTTGCTCTTTACATCTATTGAGTAGTATTCACTAAGCATTTAATGTGATTTAATGGTAGAAAATATTGGGAAACAAGCACACAACCCCATCTTCACGTTGTTACTAACTCTTTCAGTAGTTATGGCTCTCAGCTTTTCACCACCCCTTCTTTGTCTTATTTTCATTGATAATTTCAGAGTACTGCCGATGAAGCAGAATAAATATCCTGCTGGAAATCTTGATAGAAAACGGGTTTTTCACAGAATAGCCAAGTCCTTTTACAGAGGTGCATTCAATTTTCTCCTAGTAATTCAAAGAAAGCAAAAATTCAGGCTTGGCACTTTTCAAGGCGAGCCTTTAGCTGATTGGTTCTCCAATGGGTCAATCTCCATCAGGAAACTACAAACCAAATTCTACCGAGAGCCAGGATGCCAACACTGGATGGACTCGGCCGCACGTACCTCCGACATTGTTCTTGTATGTGTTATATAATTCCTTTACTCTTCTGTAGCGAAAAGCCAACTTCCTCATCCAGTCCACTCCTCCTCTCACACCTGTTGGCAAACAAAGGTTCGCACTACTTGCAGCTGCATGGAAGCCATCAGTTGCAAAACTGTAGGTACTGCAGCACCCGAAATGCATCGAAAAGAAACAGAAGAAATAATTACGTGTGCAAAACTCCGCGGCTGAATTTCTGTAGCAAATGGAAGATTGAAAGGCGTGGCTTACCTTAAGTCCTGACCGTTGTCATCTGAGGAAACATCATCTATGTGAACTTGATCACACTCCTGGGAAAAAGGAGAGAGCAGACAGACATCACCAAACACATCTACCACCAGAAAGGTTTCCCACCATTCCATGGCATCACACTATGGCCACGAGATGGCAGCATGGGCCCATCCATCCCTTCCTCCAAGGCTTGTTTTCTCATGTGGGTTAATAGCCCCACTTCCTTTCTCAGATCTAAATCCAGAAGGGTCACATCAAACGGTCTGAAAACTTGGAGTGCTTTGAAAAATAAGTTTATTCTTAACGTCATTGAGAAGAAGAACTCTTGAATCTTTGAGATCAGTGTCCCCGCTAACCTGAAAATACACAATGTGCCATAGGTCTGAGCATATCAAGTAGTCACTATTATTTATTATTTGCTTGGTGGCAAAAAAGGGGTCTTGACCTCAGAACATGGTGTCCTGTGAGCTTTCCAAGACTTCCTGCTTTTTGCTAGAGTGTTTTTTTTTTTTTAAACTTAAAGTCATGCTTTTCTGATACAGAACAAAGGTGGTAGCCAGAGGAGCTGACATTCTCTTTTCATCAAGCTTTGAAAGCATTTTTAAATTTTCATGAATACAAGTAAAAACAGTTAAGATTTACATACCAAATGAGCTCCAAACCCCAAGGAAAATAAACTTGGTAAGGATGCTCATTTTGGATCTGATTTCAAGTCAGCGTTTCGAAAAGCAAATCGTGGCTTCCACATAAGAACTGGCCTCTTCGGGGCTCTAAAAATCCTGTTCTGTGTTTAAATAATTTCAAAGTTCCCGTAAAATCGTATATGATTTAAGGTGAAATTGGCTGGCTTGATTTTAAACCTAGCCCTCAGAGGAATAGGTCCATGGTTAATAGTTGCAAATGATTACAATTCACAATAAATCAATGAGGTGTGTGTGTGTGTGTGTGTGTGTGTGTGTGTGTGCATGTATGAGTTTTGCAGGGATTGAGGTTAGACTCTTGTAGAACCTTGCATATGTTATGCAAGTGTTTTACTACTGAGTTACAATCCCAGCTTTTGAGCCTCTTGTATATCCTTTAGATTATTAATATACCCACTGATTTTGATGCTACACTTAGTGCTTATCATTCAAAAATCAATTTAAAATGATCAAATTTGAAAGTGTGCCATATTAAGAAAGACTCTCCACTTTGAATTTATTATAGACGTGGAAGTGTCTATAGCCAAACACTGAATGCCTAGCCGTCAGCCTTTCAAAGAATATATTTATCCCATTTAAGTTGACTCGGATTTCTTTGCACTTACAGAACTAAAGGGTGAGGGGATGGTTCAGCCACAGGTAAAGAGCATGCTGTTGAGCCTGATGACCTGAGTTTGACCCTAGGAGCCCGCAAAGTGAAAGGAGAGAACCAACTCCTGTGAGTCCTTCTCTGACTTCCACATGCGTATGATGCAGATAGTTTCCATCCCCAAGAAAATAAAATAAATGTGAACTAAGCAAACAACAAAACACAAAACTAGGTGGCAAGCTCAGTCAGTAAAATTTTTGGATATAACTTCAAAATGTAGTTTGGATGGAGAGATGCCTAAGCATTTAAAAGCATTCGCTGCTTTCCCAGAAGACCCAGTTTTAGGTCCCAGCACTCCCATGACAACTGACAATACCCTCTTCTGCTGCATACACATGCGACCCATACATGCATGCAGGCGAAATACCTATAAACATAAAATGAAAACAAAAAAAATCTTTTTAAAAAACTAGGTATACATATTTTAATAGTTCATAGGTTTTACACAAATTATGGGATTAGCACGTTTTGAATAAATCTCTACCTATGTTCATATGTAAGGGCTGAGAACAATTATTCTTTACTAGAGATCATCTGAGGGCACTTCTGGGAGAGATAATCTGGATATAGTGATTTTCCGAGGCATATTCTAGAGACAGAAAATAAGCAATCCAGAAATTGGGGAATGAAAGAGCTGAACGCAAAACTTAAGAACGGGAAGGAGGGGTAATATGGAAAGGGAAATATGCTCAAAGTACATAATACGCTTGTTTGAAAGTGTCATTATGCAATCCAGTACCATGGGCAATGAATAGTCAGCAATAAACATAACTCCCAGTTAAAAAGCAAAAGAATTGCTTCTTAAATACACAGTAGAAGTCGAGACAAATGATAGTAACTGGTAGAATTGCCACAATCATTTCAAGTTCCTGGCAAAAAGTCTTAGTGACATGAATTAAAAGCCCAGATGGTGAGGGTTGTGGGAAGATGTGGATGTAATGGGTTGAGGGAGAAGAAAAAGAACAGACTAGGATAGGAATTGAGGCTTCCTGAGCTCTGCTGTTTCCCTTTTATGAAAATTAGTTGAGAAGGATGCAGGCTATCCTGTTATAAAAGGAAGCATTGCACCTCCAAAACAAATCAGATACAAGTATAGTAAGTTGCTGCACTGGGCTGTAAAGTGATCTAAACAGTTAGCATGACAGCTGGAAAACTTAATTTTCCCCAGAATATGGAGGCACCAGAGTAGTCCAAAATGACCTAAGTATTTCTTCTTCAGACACGGTAAAATTCTTTAAATAAATAAATGTTAATGTGTATGAGTGTTTTGCCTGCATGAATATCTGTGGAACACATGTGTATCTGGTACCCTTTGAGTCCACAAAAGATGTTAGATCCCATGGAACTGGAGTTACAGACAGTTGTGAGCAGCCATATAGGTCTTGAAAGTCAGATCTATGGAAGGGCAGTTAGTGCTCTTAGTCACTGAGTCATCTCTTCTAGCTCAGACATGGTGAAATTCTTGGGAGGCATTTAGGTCGAAATAAATGTCTGACACTCCTCACTCCATTGAACTGCCAAAATCTTTCCTCATATAAATAATCTCCATGTGTCTCTTATGTAATAAACTTATTTAAATTCCCCAAAATGAGCAGGGAGATTTTTGTGAGTTCCTCCAACCACCAGAAGTTATTTCTTGAATACTTTTTGATTTTAATTTTTTGAAAAGCTCCCCTGACGTTTCAAGTATTAAACTCACATGATTAATTTGTACATAGCTTGCCCCCAAATTCATTTTTTACTCTTGAGGACAACAGTATATCAAACTTATTGGACCATGCACTCTGTATTTGAAGTTAGGTTTGAGGGTCTTCCAAATCTAACTCTCTTTAAATTTATGCTTCATAACTCTCTGTGTTGACTCTGGACAGTTGCCCGAGGATTACGGTCCAGTTAAAGAAACTTGAACTTCAATTACTTAGATTTTTAAGGGAAAAGATAAATAATTGTTCATCAACTAGCTTTTACTGTGAGGAACCATGCAGGGATCATTTTAATCCACACCTAAAATGCCCCCTCCAAACATCCAAGAGCTTTGGTTTTGAACATAGCTTAGCAAAGACCTCAAATGTTTGAAATAATTCTGGTGTTAATCATAAATGCTTTAAATTTGTCTTATAGGGGTAACCACAAAGTTGGTCCTGATCTATTCCAGTTAGAAGCCACAGGGCTCTTCTCTCACTTTCATGAACCCCAACTCCCTGGTGCTTTCTCCTCTGGAAGTTATTCTAACTAAAATAACATTTTTTTGAACAGAGAGAATTCTCTCGCTGGGCTTGGGGGTGGGCAGAATGGAATGAAGTGTTGACTAGTCAGAATCCAGATTTGGATCTTTTAAGGAAGTCTGAGGAGAACAGCTGCCACTGCCATGGTCCACCATGTATTGAAGCATTTACTGTTTCAAATGGACATTTGGATTCCACAAAAGATCCTAAGACACAAATATATAAGAAAAAAGGTCCTCACAGTAAGCTAATGAGAATATGTACTGCCTTGAGTAATTGTGCGTGTCAGCAGAAGCAGGTTTGGCTTAATTCTGTGATGGAGCCTTTGCAAGAAGTGTGCTGACAAATGGGTTATTGACATAAACGTGATATTCAAAATCAGCCACACAGGATGGTAGGTATGTAGGTAGGTAACTCTACCAAATGGACTTGACAGATACTGCATAGATCTTATTAGTGCAGCGCTTATCTGTGTCACATGACCATACATGTTTGTGCTTCTTGGGCTCATCTACCTGCGCAAACACACACGCACACACGGCTGTTTGGGTTGGGCTTATCATTTACTGGGCAAGTGGAGTGCAGTTGAAGAGTTAACTGTGTAGTTTGAGTCAAATAGTGTTTCTGTGGAAGTCTAAAACACACCCCAAAGAGAAATGTCAGCACCAATGTTTTCTCAATAAGTTCAATATTGCTGTTAATGATCACAGCTGATATTTATAAAGTACCTTTAACATAAGATCTCGCATGAGATGAAAAGTCTGAAAGCTCAATATATAGCCACAGCTTTGTATAGACATTTCAATATTTACTCAAAGCGTGTAAATGATTTACATATTTGTGTTAGGATACCCTCACATTCTCATTTTGATCTTCTGTTTAAAGGTTAGGATTTTATTTAGATTCTGATTATATATATATATATGTGTGTGTGTGTGTGTGTGTGTGTGTGTGTGTGTGTGTGTGCGCGTGCGCAAGCACTTCTGGAGGGGGCATGTATGCCACATTGCCGGAGTGGGGCTCAGAGGACCACTTTGTGGAGTTCATTCTGTTCTATCACAGTGAGATCTGATAGGCATGATGGTCCTACTTTTCTCTATGTCATCTTTTTTCTAATACACCATGAAAAAGCTTAAAGTTCATTTACTTCACGTGTTTCTAGTGAATGGAAGTCAAATGAGATAAATGTTATAAAACCAGGACAAAAAGATATACAATTCCTCATTTCTCTTAGAAACTTTGAAAATATTAATCAGCTTACATTTTAAGCTAAGATTATCCATATTAAGAACAAGAAAAGTAACAAATAGGTATTACTTTATTTAAAATGTCAAGTTCCACATAAGTTTGATTGTTTCCTATAACAGGCATCATCATAAAAGCATTCTGTATCCCAGGGAATAACAAGCAGTGAGTGGAATTAGCTGAAGTCGGGTTTTACAGGGGTCGTTAGTAGTTCTTATTATACAAAAATTGAAAACTAGAAGAAGGATACTGACTTTCATATTGTTTATTAACAAATAAAGCTTCTTTGAACAGGTATTATCAATGAAAACAAGGACAGAGCTGAGAAAACAATTGATCACTTCTGACCTTGTAGCTTTCAGCACATGATTTTATGGCTCACATGGAATAATTTTTATCTCCTGTCTCTGATACAGCTAAGTCTTTACCTAAAATCTTATCTAAGTCACTCACTAAAATATGATTTTCTTTCTTTTATCCGAGTTTCATCAAAGCTTGGGGGCAGAAGTCTGTGCTCTGGACTCAAACCTGATTTATAATCAGAGGCCCATTATTGAGCTAACTGGTAACCTTGGACACACAGGCGCATATGACATATATTTTATATATAAAAGGCATATATGACACACATATGACATATATATAAGATATAGTATATATTGCACAATTGAACCTATAGTTTTCCCTCTGAAAAGTAAAGTGATAGTCTTATTTATATAAAAGCATTGACAGTTAATGGTAAGTTCAACATAAAATATCTAGAAACCAGATGAGATGTTATAATAGTCATCATCATCTCTGTTCATAATTTGGCTATAGATAAATACTTTTACCTCATTGTGAAATCACAAAATTAAAAAAAAAATTAGACATGTCATTAAAAAAAGAGAAATCTTTATTTTAGTCCAGTTGTATTCATCCATAAGGAACCTTTGTCCAAATTACTTCATTATTTCAGATTCTATTTTCTGCATGTCTGGTATACCAAATTGCTAACACAGAGATTATGATCTTTATCATGGCATATATGTAGCTACTCTGAGGCTAGATTTTCTTGTGCTGTTTTATTTTGTTGATTTTTACCCTTTTTGTCTCTTGTTGGTCAGACAACTGGTGTGGGAAGTCCTTCTGCACATATGTTGCTTTTATTAATGAATAAAGAAGCTGCTTTGGGGTTCACAAGGCAGAATAGAGCAAGATGGAGGGGGGGCTGGTGGGGGTGAGACTAAACTGAATGTTGGGAGAAAGAAGGTGGAAACAGTGAGAAGCTATGGAACCAGAGGAGAAAGATTCAGGCCACCAGCCAGAGCCTTGTAGGTAGGCCACGAGCCTCGTGATAAAATATAAAATAATAGAAATGGATTAATTTAAGATATAAGAGTGAGCTAGAAATAGGCATAAGCTAAAAGGCCAAGCAGTGTTGTAATTAATATAGTTTCTGAATGATTATTTTGGGCAGCTGGGAAATGCACGAGCAGTCTCTGACTACAGACAACTGTGTTGGCATTGACATTAGGATTGGAAGCCCCATAGAAGAAAGTACTCAATGCATCAAAACCCATCAGCTATGCTATGTAAATAGCTCCAGCATTCTTTAATCTAGAAAGGAAGTTAATGAGAATGAGAGTTTGTCTAATGATGCGTGCAATAGTCAATGTTCCATGCTGGGAAGGAGGATTGGTGAATATTGCTCAGTGAATAACATAAATTGTATTCTGAGTAGTAACCTCAATAGGTTGATGCTAATGCAAAGATGAAATACCAAGAACCAAGGACAGAATGAGGAATTGCCTGACCGAAGCCACGAAGGGGACCATCTACTCTTCTAAGACATTTTATTCTCAGTGTCTGTCTGTAAATATGTATAATTCAAGAGCACAAATTTTCATTCTGTTTATAATAATTTTTCCACTTGAGAAAAACTTAACAGTTATCATCAGATGAGTATCATGTTTGTAATTTCTTATGGTTTTTGACATAAATGACACCATTTGAGAGTTTTTGTGTTGGCAATAATTATTTTTAGCTTTTAAAATTCTTACCTCTAAGTCATTAAAAAACAAATGCGTATCAGCAAGATTAAAGATCATTTCCTCCATTCGGAGCCCGAGGGTCACAGCCATTGGGGGATCCTGAAAAATGCATACATGATGAGGTAAAATTTCAACAATCATGATGACTACTAAAACACTTTAGGTACATATCATTGAGAGGGCAAAATATTAGATGACTTTTTAGTGAGGATTAAGACATTGTCCAGAGGTGAAGGAGGAGTTAAGAAACTGGGAAATATACAACAATATGACAATGTCCTAGTGACTGATAATGTAGAGTAGGGCGACTGTAGTTTACAATATTTATTGCAGTCTTCCACATGGTCAGAATAAAGGATTTCAAATGTTTTTACCCCTAAGAATGACAAATGGTTGAAATGGAAATACCAATCATCAACTTCATCATTACAGAGCACATACATGTATTGAAATTTATGGTAACACCCAAATACAATTATGCTATTTGTAATATTTAAATAATTAGGTATGAGTGTATAAAATGACTTATGAATTACCCACAAACATGAATCTCAAAAGATATATCTGGTAATTCACATAAATATATATGAGCAAATAGACTAAGAACATATTACAATAGAAATTTATCTATCAAATCAGTATATTCATAATTGAAACATGAAAGCAACTACTTTAGATGACTTTTTTGCATACATGTTATGTATATCTTTCAGAAAATGTATTTGGATGAGTGCTGAAGAGCAGAGAAAACATAATAAACATTTGAAAGGATACTCAATACTATACAGATGAAATAGGTTATATTTAGAATATCTATGCATATGCATGCAATAACAGCCAGTGAAAAAAGAGGAACTGAATTGAAGAGTGGGAGAGGTACAGGGAGGATTTGGAAAGAGGAGAGGAAGGCAGAAAGGGAGCTTGGGGACAGGTGAATAATCCTTCACACGGTGTGTTGAAATGATTGCAGGTGGAAGAAAAGCTCAGAAAGTAAAAAAGTTGGAAGGGATGATTCCTTTGAGTGGAAGGCTAGCTGGATATTTCAGAGGGAAGACAATGGTTTTGCATAGAGCTGAGAAGTCTAGAAGAACACTATTGGTTTTGGCTGAGAAGTTATTTGGGAAGTCCTCAGAGTATTATTTGGCTTGTGTGGCTGGGCCATGAAACAGACTGCAGGAATTTGAGAACAGAGAACTGAAATTGGGATTTTAGCATTTTAATGAGTGACATTTTAAGAACTGTATTAAACTTGGAGACATGTGTAGCTAGCTTTACTTCAATTGCAGATAAGAACACTCTATCCACTTCAGGCCCAGGGACATTCAATTACACCTCTCGTCTACAACATTTGCCAGTAGATACCCCTCCACAGCACCAATCAGCTTTTTTCCTATATCTATGTTCATAGTGTTTTGTGAAGGAAACAATAGAGTATAAACATATTTCAAATATCTCACCCATATTCTGTTGCCTTGGAAACATGTGGAGAATGGGAGGGTCAGTTTAATAAATAGGAATTGAATGCTAATGGAATGTGGAAGCATAAAGAACAAACTTAAGGCTTGATGTAGAAGAAGATGAGGTTAAGGCAGGAATAATGTGTAGCCATATGTTATTACTCTCATTTTCTCAGCAGGCAATTTTATGGATCTCTTAAAGATTATTGACAAAAGCCTATGTAAATTGCTCATATCCTGGAGCATGTCCTTTGGTGACTTAGACTTGGGTTCTGCTCCCACATTGATCTGCTGTCAGTGACACCTTACCTGGATCAATATACACAAATACACCCAAATCAAAAATGTGGGATGATGACAGTATGGCAGTGTTGTACGAGTACACTGATACAGAATATACATATGAGTTCTGGAAGGATCAACGTATCTATAATAGAACTCAATACAAATCAAAGATCAAATTGTTTTGTCTAACAAATACTCATTCAAATGTAAAGAAAATATATGTTGTGTATGCAAAACTTTTAAATTTTATTTTATTTTATTTTTAGCTCAGGCTATTTCAGAACTCAGAAGAACCCCTGACTGACTGTGTTTCCCTCCATTATATGACTCTCTTTTGTTGTTGTTCATATCCTTTATTGCTATTGAAAGAACTCTCTGAAGCTAGAATAATTTTTTAACTACACATTTTGTCTTTTTCTGTTAAAAATTGCTCCCGCTAATCCTCTCTTTTGGAAGGAATGGAGTGGGTCTTAATTAGCACAAGGTTATAGAAGACGTCTAAATATTCTGCTAAGTCATGGACCCGTGAACAAAAAGTCTACAGAAATATCAGGAAAATCAAATGTAATTACAGCATGAAAACATATAATTCCATTAGTGACGCTCCCTGCTTTTGAGGAATGTCCATGATGCAAGACAGTAGAAGGGAGCCTCACGGAGCTCTGATGATTTCTGCCCTAAAGATATCCATTTCAGATGGGGGTACAAAAACATCTTGCTTCTTAAAGTTTTTCTGTCGGAGGCTAGCTTAGTGAAACTTTTATCCCAACTGGTATCTGTTTCCCTTTTTAAGTTTTCAATAAAATTATTGGCTATCTCATGTTCATTCCTTACATTCTTTGCATTTACAAATCTGATTGAAGGGAAGAAGGGAGAAAACCTAGTGGCCCCGTGATTGTTACTTTGATTGATAACATGCTTCCAAACTGCATCCTACTCTGTGCTATCCAACAGGGATAGAAAAATCCACAAAGAATGCATTCTCTGTGTGTCCGATAAGCATACATGGAAATACATTTTTAAAATAAATGGCTCTTCTGGTAATGAGGCTCAGCGTGTGGTGATGAAAGCTGTCTGTGATCACACCACTGGAGTCAACCCCATGGCACTCCGAGGGCTAAGCACTTGTTTTGCAAGCTGTGGTGTCTGTACATCACATACCCTACTACAGCCAGCATGCAATAAGTATTCTGGCAAAAATTTCATTTCTTAACTAGAAAAGTTTAGATTTGGCTTTGGTCAGAGTGCGAGCTAGTTAAATTTGACTAAGGTTTCCAGAGAGTAAGCCCATTGAAAGAGAGGTGTTTGGTCATCTATGCCACAAGACAAGGAAAATGAAGTTAAAAGGTGGAGATCTTGCTGCCCAGAGGCTGTTGGGGGAAAGCTTCCATGCAAATATAGAATTTTATCCACCTCTTCCAGGTAAGTAATTTTACAGCTAATATTAAGGAAGCAGATAACAGCATCACATTCTTCCAGTTGAAGGATTTACAGATCTCAGATTAGAAAATGATGACTGTGTGTCTGGTGGGTAAAACCTTCCCAGAGTTTGGTCATCGTGGGCACCCGTGGCTGGGAAGAAGCCACCAAGGGCTGCAGTTCCACCACTTTTTCAAGCATTTGAGAATGAGACATGCTTCTGGAGAGAAACCATGATTTATACTAAAGTGCCTACTCCTTTTCATAGATGTTTACAGATGAATCTGGGTTTGCTGCATTTTTTCCATGTAGCTGTGGTGAGTGTTGAATTCAGAACTGAAAATGAAGTGATAGCAAAAACTTGGACAGAGTGAAAAGGTGGGAAAATAAAGGCACAGTTGGGGTTGTACGATTGTTCTGATACATATTACACATATAAAAGAGTTCTGAAAGATTAAGCGTGTCTCCAACAGAGTTCAACACGGGGCAAGTGGAACTTCTGCCAATTTGCCAATTTATCCCGTATACTGCTCTATCAAAACATTGAAATGATTCCCAAGACACTTAGTTGGAAAGAGTAAAAGGGAAGGAGAGAGAGAGAGAGAGAGAGAGAGAGAGAGAGAGAGAGAGAGGAAGGAAAAGAAGATAAAAATAAATAGTACTTCGCCTTGAAATGCGCACCTCTAAGCCAGATGTTGCTAGTGTATATACCCAAGTTAGGATCAAGTAGAGCACTTCTCTAAATCAAAATACTAATGCCTATTAGCCATGTTAGCACAGAACATAAATTGGAGCCAGACTGTCTGTCTGTGGGTGTCTGCCCTGCATTGGGCCATCAGCTGCAATTCCTCCTCTAGGGAAACACTGTAAAAATATCTCAGGAGAGGCAGCAATTATGTATTTTTAAAGAAATGGAGGACTATTTTTCTTTTAAGATCCTGGGATCTTAGACCAGTTATTCCTTTGGGACCTAAAGCACATTTGTAGAATTTTACACAAGGGACAGAAGATACCTGAGGACAATGAAAAGGAAGATAAGCTAGCTCCATGAGTCAAGGTAGAACTTGTTTCTGGGATCCCTGGATGCAACGGTTCTTGTAATTAGACATAAGATAGGAAATAAAATCCAGTCATGAACCAGAGAGAAAACTCTGTATTTGACTTATTTGTCCGAGAAGTAGGTAGTAAACTTCAGAGTTCCTAAAGGAAAGCCTGGGTCTGTGGGTCTGCTCGAGCGCTTGCTTAGTATCTATGAGGTCTTTGGTTCAATTTTCAGTATTGCCAAAAAGAAAAGAGAAGGAAGAGGAGGAGGAGGAGAAGGAGGAGGAGGAGGAGGAGGAGGAGGAGGAGGAGGAAGGAAGAAGGAAGAAAGAAGAAGAAGAAGAAGAAGAAGAAGAAGAAGAAGAAGAAGAAGAAGAAGAAGAAGAAGGTGGTCTTCTTTAGGAACATTAGAAATATTAGAGCATGTCTTTAGCAACCTTCCCTTATTGATCATATGTTCATATTGATCATATTGTCATATGGCTTTGAGTGCCTACTACTTGCTCAAATTCTGACAAGGGAGAAGTAAAACAAAATCAACAAAATAAAAGGCGGGAAAGATGACTCAGTTGGTAAAGCACTTTCTATGGAAGCATGAGGACCTGAGTTCAGATCCCCAGCATCCACAGGAAAATCCGGGCTTGCAGTTATAACTTCATTGCTAGGGAGGCGAGACCAAAAGATTCCTGGCGCTCAGTAGTTGAATCAATGAGCTCCAGGTTCCAGGAGAGACTCTGAAATGGGGAAAAGGATATATGTGCTTTAATTTGGGAGAAGGCAGGGACATCAATATAGAAGGAAAGGGAGGAAGGAAGGAGAGATAAATCACACTAAGGATGTCTGGAAAAGCTATAGGGAACCATATTATATTTAACTAAAATTACATATAATGTATAG